TCATTGACTACGCTAAAGCCTTTGATTGTGTGGATCACAACCAATTGCGGCAAGTTCTTAAAGAGATGGGAGTACCAGACCATCTTATTTGCCTCTTGAGAAACCTATATGCGGGTCAAGAAGCAACACTGAGAACTGGACATGGAACCACTGATTGGTTCAAAATTGGGAAAGGAGTTCGGCAAGGCTGTATACTGTCGCCCTGCCTATTTAACTTATATGCCGAGCACATCATAAGAAAGGCGGGGCTGGATGAATCACCAGTTGGAATTAAGATTGCTGGGAGAAATATCAACAACCTCATATATGCAAATGATACCACTCTAATGGCAGAAAGTGAAGAGGAACTAAAGAGCCTCTTGATGCAGGTGAAGGAGGAGAGCACAAAAGTTAGCTTGAAACTTGACAGATGACAGATTTTATTTTCCTGGGCTCCAAGATCACCACAGATGGTGACTACAGCCAAGAAAGGAAGACCATAAGGAAGGCTGAGCGCCGAAGAATTGAGGCCTTTGAATTGTGGTGCTGGAGGAGACTCCTGCAAGTCCCTTGGACTGCAAGGCGATCCAACTGGTCAGTCCTAGAGGAGATCAACCCTGACTGCTCTTTAGAAGACCAAATACGGGAGATGAAACTCAAATACTTTGGCCACATAATGAGAAGGAAGGACTCCCTGGAGAAGAGCCTATTGCTGGGAACAATTGACAGCAAAAGAAGAAGGGGAAGGCAGAGAATGAGGTGGCTAGAGGGAGTCACTGGGGCAGTCGGTGTGAGCTTAAGTGGACTCCGGGGGATGATGGAGGACAGGAAGGCCAGGAGGAATGTTGTCCATGGGGTCGCAATGGGTCAGACACAACTTCGCGACTAACAACAACAACATTTCCCCTGCTCAGCCCTACCTGGAGTTGCCACGGACTGACCTTTTGCATGCTCATGTGAACACAAGTTTATGCACGCGTGTGTGGAAATGGGTATGGATTGCATTTCTGGTGGAATGAGGGCCATTTCTGTGCAAGAGCAGGCAATTTTTATGTCTGGTTGGATTTCGCCTGATATATAAGGCATATAATGAAGAACAATTCAGGAGAGAAAAAGTAGCCTAACTTTGCTTAATGGATATGAAATTCTGTACAGCTTTTATAGAAAGTGGGGAAGGAACATCCGGGATAATGAAGGGACGGGGCTTTTCAAATGGCTTTTAAGTGGACAGTGGTGGAAATGGATTGGGAGCTTGTCGATGGCATTACTTTGAGGGCGCATTAGCCGAACCCAGAACTAACCCTGGCTTGCCCACAAGTTGCTGCACGGCACCGATGGAAAGCTTCATGCAAGGACACATTAAAAGCTGCCCTTCTTGCAGCTTCAAGCAGAGCTATCAAACGTTACACGTTAACGTTAAGTAGGAGTCCCAGAGTCCACAGTATCAGGAGCTTGTTTGCATAGCCTTTGTTTACTGATAATTCGAATGCTATTCCCATGATTAATCTTTCACCATGTGAGGCTTTAGCTCAATGTACACTCTAGCGACATTTTAGGACTTCCTGCGAAGTCTATAGATAGCCATTTTTAAATGAGCCATTGTATCTCACCATTCTCTCGATTGCCGCATGATGCAGCGCCATCCCCTTTGTAGCCATTTGGTTGTGTATAAAAGGAGGGGGGATGGAAGAGCGTATCCTGGGAAAGGGCATGAGCCTCTGGCTCAAACTCCAAACAAGAGCAACACAGTATTGCAGCTCCCACTTGTACAGCAGCAAAACCTCATGTTTGCAAAGCCCCTTTCAGTATTTAAAGCATTTTGCCTGCATGATCTTGTTGCGATCCCTACAACTATCATACAAGGGAAATCAATATTGCTGATAGCAGCGGCCCCAAATAGCATAAAAATGAACATTGCCAGCATACTGCTGCAGAACACATTTTCTCTGCTGTCTCTTCAGACAGCAGGGAGTGCAGGCTTCAAACAGGCGGGCGACATAAATTGCTTGTGGTTATATTAGTTCTAGAAGTATTAGCTCCCCTTGTTCTGACTAAGGGAGTCAATGTAAGTAAGCGAAAGCGAAAGCCCAACCAGTAACTGTTTCCCCCCAGTTATGTCTCCCTCCATGCAATGGCTTTGAACTGGTGGCTGCTGCTTCCTTCCAGCAAGGCATGCAGGCAGCAACGGGGGCCGCGTTGGAAAAGTCACCACTTTTGCCTGAACAATCCACCTTTGCTGGACAGATGCAGGACAGAAAATGCAGTGGTGCCAGCGAAAAGAAAGAGCACAGTAAAATTAACAAGGACAGTCTTCCAAGCCCCAACCCCTCGGGGTCACATTAGCTCAAGGAGAGGCTCCTTCCCTTCCTACAACCCAGGCCCTGGCCCTGGCCCCCTCTGCTGAGGCCCTTCTCTGCCTGTCCCCACTGGAGGAGGAGAGGCAGGGGGCTAGCAGGCCCTTAGGGTGCTAGTGGGCCTTTTCAGGCGCCCCCTTTATAGGACGCCTTCCCCAGAGAGGCCGGACTGGTGCTATATTGTGGTCTTCAGAGTGAGAGGTGGAAACCTTTCCTTTTTCCTTGGTTTTGCAGTCTTTCAGATATATATTAAAAATTGTGTTGGTACTTTTCAGATCCTTGCATTGCTGTTGTCCTCTGCTGTTGGGTTTCATGTTGGTGTTACTGCAGCTGCTATTTTATAACTGTTCTAATCTCTCTCAGATTTTTACCTGGTTTTGTTATATGTATGCATTTCCTGACTTTGGCCTTGAGGTATGTCCACTCTGTGATCGCAGTCGACTCGTGCAAGAAGAGTGCACACATGGTGGCCACAGGGCTTCCCTTAACGACATTCCCAGTGCACAGATGTTGGGGTGGGAAGTGCCTGGAGTTGGGATGGGGCGCATATGCACGGCCCCAGCCGTGGGCTGCATGGCTATCAGAAAGAGCCAAATTCCACGCCAGAGAAGCTCTTGCGAGCTGCCTTCCAGCGGGGGCTGGGGTCAGAGGAGAAAGGGGTGGGTCTGAAGGTGTAAGAGGAGGAGATGAACGTTTGGAAGTGCCAGCCTGTTGTAGCTTACAGGTCTTATTGCCAGTAACCAAGCCTTAGGGGAGACATTTCGATCTTTTAGAGTAGGGAGACCCACAGGAAACCGCCAAATGATTGGATCTCCAATCCCACCTTGGCCTGAGGTTCTGCACCTCTGCTACCGAAGATCCTCCTAACTTTTACCCAGCATGGCCCTCACAGGCACAAAGTCTCCTTGCTACACTTTGCTCATGGAATGGGGCAACCATGCCAGGTTACTGATGGATTTGTCTGCTTGTCATAGGCTAGCATAGAAAGCTGCCTTTCTCCAAAGCTGGGTATTCATTTATTCACTTATGTTGCTATACTGCTCGGAATGTAAGGAGAGCTTTCAGGCTGGAACAGACCAAGGCCCATCCAAACTCGGCATCCTGCCACCTCAGTGGCCACCCAGATACCCATGAGGAGCTCACAGGACTCAAGGGCGACAACCCCATCCCACGATTGCCCCCAGTAACGAGGTGTGGTGCCTCTCATCTTGGAAGGCGTATACAGCCTGGAGGTAGTGTATGCCTCTTCTGCCAGGAGCTCAAAGATCGAAAGAGTAATTTTGGCTAAGGGATGCGGTAGGAATCTAATACATAAATGTAATTTCAAAAGCACAACTATCAATGCCATCAAATTATATAAACTCTTACAAGAAACCAATTGTAAGTCAGCCTTGGATCACGCCAGCCAAATGAACTGGGAGGCCCAAATGAACTGGGAGTTCTCAGATGGTCCCACCCTCCTCTTTCCCCAGACCATCAAACACTGGGTGCTTCCCTGGCTCTTGTGACTTTTTATCCTTCATTCTTTTATCCGAGGGCCTGGGATGGGCTTCCACGGGAGGTGGTTGAGGCCTCATCAGTGAGGATGTTCAAAGATAGGCTGGACATGCACGTGGTAGGCATGTTGTGAGCTGAGCTGGCTGGAGCTGGGGGTCAGACTAGATGGCCCAGGAGACCCCTTCTGACTCGTTCTGTTCCTATGTTATTCTAAAAGTCTGAAATGCCCCTCCTGAGGCTTGGTTCCTGGCAGGAAGAGCTTTCAGCTGGGATTTGTGGGACTTTTGATCCGACTCCCTTTGCCTTTGGCTCCACCCACCACGAAGATGAACTCTCCCCAAACTGAGAGCTTCTCCAAAATTTAAATCAGCCCTCAAACTGAAAGCGTTTCCCCACCCCTAGTCTACATGATCTCCCAATGTCTGGAAAAGAAGCATGCTTCCAGCCTCTTCAGGAATGTGTCTCCATAGTTTCTGAGTCATGAGCAAGAGGGGTAATTCCTAGCCATCACCATCCCAATGTGCTGTACATACAAAAGATGAAATGGACAATGGGAAAATGTGCTGACCAGACTTCAGTGGGGGAGTGGGCCTGGGTGGGGGAGGCAGCTCTGCAGGTAAGGAGGCCTTCGGCCAGGCAAGGTTTTGATGCTTACAGTCCTCACCTTCAGTTGTGCCCAGAACTAAGCAAAAGGCTAAGTGGTGCCAAAACCTGGAGGTTAAATGCTTGCAGGTCTCCCGGTATCTGTTAGGAGCCAAGGGACCTTTGGCCACCTTTGGCACCAACTGAAGAGACCAGCTTCGTCAAAAGGAAAGAGGTGTGCATGGTTGCTCTCCTGATCCTTGGGCATCACACAAGGATCCATGGATGCCCCTGTCCCTAACATTCACTGAGCGAGGCCCATTCTACTACCCCTTGCGAAAAAAATGTCCCTCGAGTCAGAGATTGTTGCCCTCTGATGTCTCCAAGCAATGGGACAGAGAAGCACAGGAAGGGGCTGATTTGCATGCTCCTTCTCCTTTTCCGTGAGCTGATCCTGAATCCAAAGCTAGCCATAAGGCCCCGCTTTTACATCCGTTTCTTGTTTCCTTTGCTGGTAGAACTGTGTGATGCAATCATTCTGCACTCATACACATGGTCTGCCGATTAGAAGCTGCTCAATTGACTTACCAGGAGGAGAATCTGTCATAATTACTAATGAGGCTGGTGTGGGCCTTCGTTTTCTGATCTGTGGAAAATATAGGTGCAGAAGATTGATTAATAGTCACACACCTACATCTGTGGCAAATGGCAACCCGTTAGCCCATCCTGTTTTGCGGAATGCAGGCATCCAAGAAGCACTCTGAGGACCAGGTTGCTTCACTGATAGAAACAGGCTTTCCAGCATCCAGCTATCCTCCAGTCTCTAAAAACAAATATTGCGTGCGATATCAGCATGTACTTGTGCCAGGAAAACAATACTTCTTTGTGCCTTCTTTCTTTGATTCATTGTGCTTGACTTGAGATCTGCGAAGACTACGTTGGAGAAACGGACCAGGACTGTTCTGGCCAAACAGGACTGGTGTATGTCAAGGAACTCTGGAAGTTGAAATACCCATGTGGCTTCTGGAAGAGCTAGCTCTGTGTACAACTGGGGTGGGGGACCTCTCAATCCAGCCTCCTGTGGTTTCCCGGATCACCTTGTCGTCTTCACTTGGCCTCAAGTTACAGGTTATTTGGTGTCTTCCAGCAGGTGTCCCATCTCCCCGCACCCCATTCTAAAAGGCTGAAAGCCTTCTCCTTTGTGACAGGCACAAAGAGATTCAAAATAAAGCACACTGGTCTTTTTGGCCTCATCCCTGTTGCCTTCAGCTCTGGTCAGCCCTGGAAAGCAGCCCCTTTTCTGGCACTGAGTTTGGCCCTCCAGTTCAGTGAGGTTCCCCACTCCTGCTGTCCAATCTAAGAGCCTGCCCCAGAATCTCACAGGGAATTCCAAGGTTCCTGTTGATCTTGCACTGGGACAGTCCTGCCAAAGGCAGCAATGATCCGTGGTCAGTCCTATCCAAATAGCCATGAATCTCAGCCCCGTGTTGCTGGCCCACCAACGCCAGTAGTGGTGTAGAATAGGGGCATTCCTCTTTATTCCTTTTTGTTACACTGGCTGGCTTACAAGCTCTTATATAATGAGGTACTGAGCATGCTCAGAATTCACCCCTGGAATTGGATGACAGGTTCCTGTTGAGGAGCATGTCCTCCCCAAGCCACTTTTGGGGACCCTCACCCAACAGGGAGCCTTCCAGGTGCTTTGGACTACAGCTCCCATCCACCCCAGTCAGCAGGGCCTGAGGGGAAGGATGATAGGAGCTGCAGTCCAAGCAATTGGAGGGCGGCAGTTTAGGGAAAGCTGTCTTGTGACATGGAGGTGGACAGGGAGGGGGACGGGCGGGGAGAGAGCCCTTGTCTAGCACAAGCCCCTTGCTTTTGCTGGGGCGGCACAGGGTGCCATTTGCAATGTCACTGTAACGGGCAAGGGGCACAACCTGACAGAAGTCTGCAGTATCTCTTATCCTTGGCTTTTATTTGCTGGTGAAGACAGACTACTGGCCAGTGATAAAGAGACTGCTTTCTTTCAGCATCCCTTCTGCCATTTGAGACCAATAATGTAGGCGAAGGGAGATGGTGCTCCAGATACCACAGGAGAAGAATGCAATATTAGGCTGTAACAATATCAGTGTCCGGAAACAGTAAGGTACATTTCATGCATGTATTGGAATTAAATGAAGGTCATACGGTAGACATGGTCCACGGTGATTTAAATGAGGACTCTTGCTCAAAGAATCACTGCAGATCCTCCATCTTCTGCAACTCCTTCACGGAAATATAACATCTTTCTTACCACACCTTAGTCAATAAACACTTAATTTTTTATTTAGGAATGCCTCACCTTTGAGAAGATCTTGAACCTATTTTGTCTGATCCTATTCTTTGGTTGTCCTCAAGGGCCCATTTCTTCCTGACAAAAGTGGCATTTTCATGAAAGATGCTTGACAGTGTAATTCTAGGTATTTCTACTCTAAATTAAGCCAGACTCAGTCCAGTAGGACTCAGTTCTGGGTTAGGGTTGGGGTTAGCATGTATAGGATTACAGACTAATTCTTCAGTTCTATGCACACCTGGGAGTGAGCCCAAGTGAACAAAATGTGCTGATTTTTTTCTGAAGTAATCCAACTTGCATTGTCAATCTCCACAAGGAACTATTGTGCCAGTACATCTACTCTCAATGCTGTGGACAGATCATTCTACAAAGCCAAAAAGATAATGACTTCTTCATTCATTCCATTAATTCTTTATTTGCTGTTTCTAACACTTTGCCAGGCTTACAGCAGGTCAGACAGCTCTAAGTGTTTGGCAGCTTGGAGCATGGCTTGCAAAAATTCAACTAATGGTAAATTCTGAAATGCAGGGAAATCCTTGCTCACTTATTGTGCATGCATCTCATATTTCAAATACAATTGCGTATGCATATGAATATATCACTAACATAATTATATTTACAAATATTTAGAAAATAGTGACTGCTCTTGTCAAACTTAAGGAGAACTGAGCACATTTTAAAATCACTCTTTCGACTGAACTTTCTTACATGCTGCATTAGTTGCTGATATCTCCTTTTATAGATCAACATCCACCAAGCTATATTTGTTTCACATGCTATATTTTAACATATAGACCAAAGAACATGGATTAAGTACACACACCCCCCCCTCACTGTTAGAAAGCATCTGCTGTTAGGGAATCCAGACAACAAAGGTTCCTCAGGATGCCGACATTCAGCAAAACAGGATGGTTTAGCATCCAAAGGACAATGATCACTCCTGATCTTGTTTCCGCTTGGTACCCACACACTTTCTGGAATTCTGTAGCATCTCAGATTTTCTCATCTGGAAATGCATCACATTTTAGACTCCTTCCCCCTTTCCCCCAGCAAAGAAGAGAAAACCAGCTGCTTACCTGTTCAGCTGCTTCAGGATCTATTTGACTTTGGAATAAAGGGACAGCAAATTGTATCTTTTTCGGGCTGTTAGGCTCCATGACAATATTCAGAATGCAGAAGAGAAAAGAGCCCAAGACTGCCTGAAAGGAAAGCCGGAGAGTTGTCTATGCAATTCTCCCTGGCACACTCCTTGACGCCACGCCAAAGCGCTCTTTAGTAACAGCTGTAATTCCTGAGCATGCAAGCAGAGCTGCTGGGGCTGAGAAGCTCCCAGCTCCACCATCCACAGCAATGCCTCTGGCTGATGCCACTACTGTTCCTCCTCCGGTCCTTCAAAGACTCTCAGCACAAAGCTGAAAGGAACAATACGCTAATTGTGCACAGACTCCCTTCTGCATATGCCAGGGGTTCACTCAGGAGCTAATTGAAAATGCAATACTAGCCCTGGCTTGGCCTGGTGCCCTGGGATTTGAAATAGAGGATCTCTCCACCGTACATTACTATCTGGCTGCACCAAAGTGCCGGGTAAGCGCCCTTCAGAGTATTGCTGATGGACCTTGAATTATTGATAGATGCAGAGATCAGGATGTTTTCAGAGTGGAGGTGTGGAGGTGGCACTCGGACTAGGTGGGGTATAAATCAGTTGATCCCGGTAAAGGCATATCTGCAGAATTCCCTTGCTTTTGTTATATGTCAGCCATGTCAGCCATCTTCGTGATGATTGATTGATTGATCTCCGTCTAGATCTGTTGCCCTCCAATAAGCTCCACACTTCACAACTCATCACAGGAAATCACCGTTCATCTGCTGGAGAGTTTACTTCCCAAGAAGCTCATTTTCAAGGAAAAAGGGTAAACTTGGCACAAGATTCCAGAGATTTCTTGGGCGGCAATCTGGATGTTTTGGCTTACAGCTTCAGATTGGTTGGCCTGCAATTCACATCTTTTCTCATCATTGGCTATATCACATAGGGTTAATGGGAGCTGTAGGCCAAAACATCAGGAGGGTCACAAGAGGCCCACCCCTCATTTAAAGGCTCTTTCTTAGGGGCAACTTGAGAAGGATTTTGAAGGAAGGACAAAGAGTTTTAATCGGACTCTCATGGCCAGTTTGTACATCACTACATTTTCCCCATGGTTTGCCTTAAGGCAAATATGTGACACTGCTGCTTAGGTGAACTATCAAAATATACTTGTTTGCAAAACATTGAGCATCACTTTGCTTCAGTGGGAGATTAATGCCATGGTTCTGCAGCTGCCACACTCCTTTATACCTCCTTTCATGGGAAGTGGAATATATATTGAACATTTCTAATCTGTGGGTCATTGTTTTGGTTTCCATATTTGTGGACATGTTTTTGTTAGTGTTTGGAGTGATTCAGTCTGCGCAGCTTGGAACAGTACTAGCTACTCCAGGTGGTTTGTTCTTTGCAAGTGCCTTCAGAGCAGCTTCCATGTCACTTTCTAATATTTAGAAATATTAGAAATCCTATATCTCCGTAGGATTCCACTTTGAAGAAGCCCATCCTTTCATCTCTTCTGTATACTTCTTCTGTTTATTTTTTCCACCTTCTCTTTTTTTCTCTCTTCATAAGATTTGGTGTTCCCTTGTTTGGCTTTTAGCATACCTAATCTAGGCTTGAATTTTTCTTTGATTTCTTGGATCTTCTGGAAGAGACATTCTTCCATAATAATGTCTCTGGTTTCAGTCCACAGTTCTTCTGGCTCATGGTCAATTGATGAGTAATGCAAATCTGTTCTTTATGTGGACTTTGAATTCTTCAGGGATGTTACTTAAGTTACATTTTGGTACTATTTTTGATCTTTCTTTAGCTTGACTGATTTTTTTTAAATTAAGAGCTGATGGTCACTACCGCAATCTGCTCCTGATCTGTTTTGGCAGCAAGAATATAGCTTCTCCAACGTATGCTTCCAATTGCATAATCAGTTTGGTTTTTTATTGACCATCTGCTGAAGTCCCTGTAAACAATTGTCTGAAGCATGTGCTTGCAATTAACAGGTTCTCCTGCTTCATTTCTTACCCGTAGGCCTAATTTTCCGACAACATTTGATTCTGCTTTGTTTCCTACTTTTTTATTCCAGTCACCTAGGATGATCAGCATGCATAGTTTTGTGGAATGAAATAAAATAAATAAAACACACTGTGTTTGTCTGATTGGAAAATGTCTCGTTCCAGTCCACTTTAGTTTGCTTACACCAAGTACTGCCATGTTCATCCTTTGCATTTCTTGCTTTATGATTTCCGTGACTGAGTTTGCCTTGATTCATGCTTCTCGCATTCCATGCCCAGTTGTGTGTGTTGTGCAGCACTGAACTTTGCTCTTCCCTCTCTGCATGTCAGCCACTGGTCTTCCTTTCGTGTTTGATCTAGTAGCGTCATTAGCGGCAGTGCTACTTGTACTTGTCTTTTGCCCTTCCCCTGCAGCTCGTAAAGTGCCTTCCATCCTTCAGCACTATCTCTTGCTTCATTCTGGATTGTTTCAGCAGAGCGTTTTTGAGGTAAGAAAATTCAGAAGTGAATTACTACATCTTTCTTCCGTACAGTACCAACCAGCATTAGCTTGAGCATCACTGCTGTTGTCTGCAAAAGATCCTCTGCCCGTGGCACTTTGAACTACTGCTGCTGCATTTCACAAGTTTCTCCGCCCCCATCAGTGTTAATGAGACCCATTCTGTTTTGGTGATGCGATTGTTACTCTCAAAAAGGGAGGCTGCATCTTAGTCTGGTGTCTCAACCTTGACAATTCAATTCTGCTTTGGGTGACCCTGTCAGGAGACCAGCCAGATGAGACTATTTTGGCCTCCTGATGGCATTGCTGTTGGTTTCTTTGACATTCTCAAACACCCTCAGCATATTAAGGTGTGCATCAAAGAGGGAGGAATTTGAAAGAAGATCGAGGCTTGGATGGGCAGCAATGAAGAAACTAGAGAAAATCATCAACTGTAAGGATGTTTTACTGGAGACCAAAGTCAAGATCATCCAAACTATTCTATTTCCAATCACAATCTTTGGGTGTGATAGCTGAAAGAAAGTTGACAGGAAGAAAATTAATGCTTTGAAACATGGTGCTGGAGGAGAGTTTTACAAATACCCTGGACCAACAGAAAGAGAAACTAAGAAATCCTAGATCAAATCAAGCCAGAGCTTTCTCTAGAAGCAAAAATGACAAATTGGAGGCTGTCATACCTCAGACACATCATGACTTACTGGAGAAGACAATTATGTTATGGAAATTTGAAAGCAGAAGATGAAAGGGAAGACCAAATATTAGATGGATTGAATCCATAAAGGAAGCCACAGTCTGGTGCTTGGAAGAGCTGAATGGAGCTGTCATGGAGAGGACATTTTGGAAAGTTTTCATTCATAGGGTCCATAGGCCGAAAACAACCTGAGAGCACATAACAGCAACAGGCAAGATTAGCACAATTTATCAGGGAAGATTGGTGGGGGACCCATCCAGCCCTAGAGTCCACCTAGGAAGCTATTTTATGGGGAAGGGCTTTCCCTTGCACAGCACTTTTGATGTATCTCTATTGTGAAAATTAAGCTGTTCCCAGCACTACACAGAAATTGGAAACCTGCACTAGGTGTGCAACGGAGCACTCGTGAGCATATCTGCTGACACAAGCCTGTGTATTCCATGAGGGATAAGGGTGTGTTCTGTCTCACTTGGCTTGCAATTCCCTACATATTTTTATTGGGCATAATCCCAGTGTCATTTCAGTGGTAAGCAAAGGAATTTTAGCTCCTGAACTGAATGGTTGTATGTGTTTTGCTCTAGTTGTAAAACTCACCACTGACATTCTCCTCCTCCTCTCCTGCATTCCTGTTATGTCAGAGCAAAACAAAACAATAACAACCCTGGTAGAAAAGAGAAAATACTGTGAGAACATACTCTTTGGCATTTAAACACACCTGAATTATAGCCGTGTCATGACCATGGGAATAAAACAGAGTTTCTTTCATTGCCCTGATACTACACAGCAACATTTAGGTGGTAATACATGGCATTTTATGATAGAAAAAAATAAATTTTTGAAACAAAATAAGTGCATGTAACTACATGAATGCCCAGTTCAATTGCCACCCAACTTTAATTTAAAAAGTTCTTTGCCCAAATTTTATTTTTTTTTTAATATTTTTTAAACCTCCCAGAAATATTTGGCTATGGGGCAGTATAGGAATGAAATGAAGAAGGCAGCGGGGGGAGGTAAGTTGCAGCAAGCAGCATCGGCCCTGCTGGGCCTGGGCGTATCCATTGCAGCCCAGATTCGGAAGCAAGGCCTGCTTGTGCATCGCCTGCCCTTCTCTGAAGGGCAGCTTGGGCTGTGGGGGCCTAGACTTCAGCCCAGAGTCAGGACTAGCCAGAACCATTGCCTAATACAGCAGGTCTTTGGAATACACAAGCATAAGAACACGCTTTAGGGGAAAGCGAACAAGGGTGGGTGGTGACCGAATTACATCCGGGCACTTCTGAGCAAAGAAAACAGTGCGAGACAATTGGAAGCAGCACGGAGAATAAATGAAGGGTTTTATTGTCTGGAACTAGTTCAGTTTCATGAGCCAGTTTAAGATCATATTTTTTAAAATTCTATCATTGCGCAACACTGCTGTTTGACTTTTTTCCTAACTTGTTATCCCTTCAGAGTTGTTTACCTGCCTTGGGTGAATCAATTTTCCCTGGGTTTCATAAGTCATCCTTCTGTCAGTGAATTCCACCAGACTTCTGCCAGGAACTGATTTCAAGGTGGAGCGATGAAAAAATAATCAAAGGGTACAGAAAAATATAGTAAGAATTGATTGTAGTAGTAGTTTTCTGTGCAGGATTTAGCCCTGGTGACAACTTCCATAACACTTCCGCCTTGTTTTTAGAATAAACAGATTTAATGTTTTGGTTTATATAATCAAGTTGTGTGCAAAGGACCTATCAAAATGACCTTATTCGTGGGCAGAGAAAGTGGGGGACCATTTCACTGAATTCCTCCAGGGACAAGTGAAAGTTGGCTTCAGCTTCTCGCTGGCAGGACACTGTGTTGGCAAGGGCTGTACTGCAACTTCTTTTCCCCCATGGCAATTA